CTATGGCTATTAAAGACTTCTTCAAAGAGGGCAAGCTTCTTAGGGCGGTAAATTGTACTTCAATTGCTCTTATTCCCAAGTGTGATAATGCTTCTTTGTGTAAGGACTACAGGCCCATTTCTTGCTGCAACGTTATTTATAAATGTATCACCAAAATCATTGCGAATAGAATTAAGAGTGCTTTACCTCTCTTCATTGACCCGGCACAAGCAGCCTTTGTTGGTGATAGGAGAATAGGAGATAATATCCTGTTATGCCAATAGCCATATCACTAGTGATGCAAGGTTCAATATTTTTAGATTTGATGATTGCTAGATAGAAAAAATGCTCATTAGACAATTATTTCCAGTTGTTTCATATTTGAAAACATCAAAATCTGTGATTTCTTTAATGATAAATAGAGCTTAAAGTTGTTGGTTCTTGCACTATCATGTGTATTAGATGCCAAATTCCCTTCCTAGATTTGAACAATACACACTAAATATGTTTCAAAACAATTCCCAAGTTATCAAGTAACCCTTGAAGCCAAATTCCCTCTTTACAGCCTCTGAAATTGCATGCACTCTACTTCTGTGCTTGACAGAGCAACTGTAGACTGTAGAGTAGACTTCCTACTCACTGGTCCTTTGGCAACTGCGAACAAATAACCAGTTGTTGAATGACGCTTATCCAAATCACCGACTAATCAGAATCATACATAACCAACAATAAATTGAATAAGATCATTATCCTGCTCAAAACCAAACCAATATCTATAGTACCTCAAATATACTGTAGAAACCATTCACAACCTGCCAATATCTTTTATCAGGATCATGCATATGCCTGCTCGCCATACTAACTGCTTGTGAAATATCAAGCCTTGTTTACCCATGGCCCATAATACATTGATCAAATCGTTTATACCACTGTCTTGGTGACTGCTTCAATCCATATAACGATTTCTTCGATCTGCAAACCCAATTTTCCTTCCAGCAACCTTGTAATCATCTGGCTGAGTCTTGTAGACTTCGTCTTCCAGCTACCATGTGAAACTGCGATTTTGACATACAACTGAACTAGTTAAAAATCAAACTGTGCAACCAAGGTTAGCACAATCAAAATGGAAGAATACCACTGTCATGGCCCATTTCCATGATTCACAATTTGATCTCCTAACTGCTTCTTTATAAGTAATAAGAATATCATCAACTATGATTGGAGGTGCATAAGCCACCATATTAGCAAAATGAGCAGGCTTGTGAATTTCTCGTCTTGGTCTATTGTATGCAACTATTTCTTGTTGCTGTGCAGATTCTTGGGGTAAAATCTCCTCTTCATCTATAGTATCCACATTAGTCACCTCAGAATCACATTCTTTCTCATGGACACTATCTGGTTCAACTGTTATTTCAAACTCCACCTACTGCCAAGTACTGTTAGCCTTCATCTAGCTTTCTATTTCCTCCTGTCAATTGGCGTCTTGCTTTCAATTGCAGCTGACGGCAGATGATTAATGAGATGATACGCATATGCAACTGTCTCAGGCCAAATCTCTTTGCCCAACCCAAAAATTGGACAACAACATCGAACTTTCTCCAGTATAGTTCGAGTCATGCGTTTTGCCACCCCATTCCGCTACAACATCTTCTCCCAAAGCCTCAATCATCTTCTTCCATATCAAGAAGATTTCCAAAACCTCACTTTTCTCTGCTTTCCCAGAACACCATGCCCACAAATTCCAATTTACAAGATTTTTGACAAACCTTGTTTCACCAACCCTTGCAACGCTTTCTCTCCCACGTGTGCCAAACACATATGCCATAATCTGGTTGCTTTTGAATCTACATCCTCGTAAGAGCCTGTAGCTGCTAATCTAATAATTGAACCTCATTGAAAAATTACAACTTCTTGTTTCTTCTGACACCTTTCCTCACCAAAAGTGCGTTTGATAGAACTTTAAGAACACCATCTCGCATATTAACACTTACTACCTTAGACTCAAGGACTTTTAATGAGATAAGATTCTTCTTCAGACCCAAAACATATCGGTCATTTGTTAGAACTCTAATTGATCTATCAAGAATTTCAAATTGATTATACCCATCCCCATTATTTTGCAAGCACTATCATTGCCCATAAAAACTTGTTCCCCAGCAAGTTCCTTAACACTAGAAAACCCATATGATAGGTGCAACTCGAATCTATAATCCACTCTCCAAGTGAGACACAATAGAAAAACCAATGAAAACAAACTCTGACTCATTTTCCTCAAATTCACCCACACAAACATTTGAAAAAGGCATTACAAACAAATTCATACAACATTTTATCTTTCCCCTGAATCAAAGTGGTGGTTAAGTGCTCATAGTCAACGGGAACATAACATCATATTGAAGCATTGATATGGTCATTCATGGACAAACTGCCGACAATCAAATCGAAAAAGCTGTACTCTCAAATAAAGTCCATTTGCAGTGCCCTTTTTTTTTTTCTTTTTTTTTTTTTTTTGTTAAGTAAGTAATTATATTAAAAAAAAAAAAAAATGTCTCCTCAAAATTCTGCCAGAGTTTCCATGCAAATGTTTCCTAAGTGAGACACAAACGAATTATCCCACATGTCTCAGGATTGATCATTTCCCGTTCAACATCCCTCATACCAACTGGTTTCTCTTCCTCAATGACAGCCTCTCATTCCTACTGGTATAGGACGTCAACAGGACATCTTCAACTTCACACTGTCACATACTAAAGAAATTTGACCAAAGAAAATTCTCCTTTTCAAATTTTCCAAGATCAATTTTTGCATCAGTAACCGTCATCAATTTTACTGGTGCGGACGGTGATGCCTCGGACGATGATATCATTTGTGCCTTACTCAATTGGCTTGGTAGATAAACCTTAAACCAAGCTCCACAAATCATTATATTCAATAGCTAAGCAACAAATTAATAGGCACCACGAAAATTCCCAAGAGACACTGGATGGGTCACAAACGGTCCCGCTTAAAATCCAGTCTCTATAGACTCTTATCATCTTACTTACAGAAGTTTCCTACACATGCATATAACCATACAAATATCAACTATCCTACACCTAGGCTCTGATACCACTTGTTGTGCAGTGGAAACACAAACTCTAATGCTAGCTATTGAATATAATAATAACAACTAGTAAAGTAGAAATAAATGCAAATATAAAGAATACCAGGTATTAACGACGTTCGGTATTGTAACCTACGTCCTCCGGCACTGCAAAAGAAAGTCCACTATCTCCAAAGAACAACATTACAAACATTTGGGCAGTAAAACAAGAACATAAATTATATGGGCATAGAAACAATTTACCCAAACAAAAGAGAAACTCACCAACCAATCATCCATCTCTCTTATCTCTTTGACTTCAAATTATGACAACTCACCAACCAATCATCCATCTCTCCCCTCTACCTCATCAATCTCGAGCTGACTCATCTTGCCACGTCCCCCAAGATGCCAAGTCAGCCTGCCACGTCACCAGCCCTACCACATCACCAAAAAACAAATTTTTCCTTCCATTTCCCAAGCCTTCCCAAAGCCATACTTTGCCTCACAATGGTCCTTTTCTTGTGAATTCTTTGAATACAAGTGAGGCAAAGAGTTCCGGTGGGGTGTTTAAGAAGCAGCAAGTTGTGGGTGGAAAAGAGATTGATAAGTTTGGTGTGGAAATGTGTGACAGGAATGCGTTGGTTGATTCAAAGGTGCCTCCAATTATGATGCATGGCGAGAAAGCGGTGAGTGGAGGTGGGACTATGGGGGAAAAGGTGGATGGGGAATTGAAGCCTGTTGGTATTGCATCCTAGAGAAAACTTTTTGTTTGGAAATCTAGTGCTCCAATTGAATATTTTTCACCGGAAATCCTTGATGTTGGGAGGAGGATAAGGGTTATACCTCCTAAAGAGGTTGCTGATTTGGGGAGGGACAAATGGGGAAATTGTCTCGTTGGTTTCTTCCTTGGTAGAAGGTTGCCATTCTCTCTTGTGAAGGGTTTTATCGATAGGAATTGGAAGTGCTTCGGCAAGGTTGGTGTTGTCTCAAATGGGGTTGGGGGCTTTATTCTGAAATTTGATAATGAGAGCTCCAGGGATGAGGCCTTGGAAGGGAGCCCTTGGCATATTGGGGGGCAGCCCATTTTCCTCAAAAATTGGTGTCCGAATTTAAAAATGGCAGGTGAAGGCATTAGTAGTGTGCCAATTTGGGTCAAATTTAGTGGAGTTCCATTGGAGTTTTGGACTGCTAAAGGGTTGAGCTATGTTGCGAGCGCTATTGGGAAACCTCTCTATATGGATAACATCACGGATGCTGGGGATAGATTGGAGTATGCAAGAGTTTGTGTTGAAATTGACACAGCTTCTTCATTCCCGAATTCAGTGGAACTAGGCCTCCCGAATGGTGATTGTGTAAACATAGGGGTGGAGTATTCTTGGAAACCGAGGCCCTGCCCTTTGTGTAGAACTTTTGGGCATAATTTGAAGGAATGTCACTTGGCCCCTAGATTTGAGAAGGAAAGTGCTGAGAACAAGAACTTGAATCTTACTCAAGAATCGCAAATGGTGACTAAGAGGAAGGAGAATGTGTCAAAGGACGTGGTTGTGCAAGCGGAGAATGTGGGCGTGAGTTCTTGCCGCAAAAAACAGCAGCCCATTAATGAGTCGAGAGTCATGGTTAGTAAAACAAAACCCTCCACTAATCAATTTGTGGTTCTTAGTTCGGGCAATAGGCTGGATAATAGGGAACTAGATGGCGAAGAGGGTAGTGAGAATGTCGAAGATAGGTTTGGAAAAGATAAGGATGAAATGAGTGGGGTAAATGTTCCTAGCGGGGCTTATCTTAACAGGGGTAATAATCGAGGTGCGTGTGATGATTAGGGTAAGTGTGTTAAGGGGAATGAATATGGGGTGAGTGTTCCTAACATAGAAGAGAGGAGATTGGAAGTAAGCAAAAGGTTGAATGCTCTGAGTGCTTTTAGTCAGATGGTTTTCTTTCAATTGCTCTTATTCCCAAGTGTGATAATACTTCTTTGTGTAAGGACTATAGGCCCATTTCTTGCCAAAGAAAACAGAGTGTTCTTGATTTCCTCATCCATCACTTCGGCAGTCATCTTATTAGCCATATCACTAGTGATGCAAGGTTCAATAAGTTCTTGTAAACCTTGGTAGTCCCTCGCACCCCTCGGCTCCTCAAAAACTCTTTTAAAGTGGCTGATAATTTCTTCCTTAATGCTCAAAGGGTCTTCAAAAACCATGTCATTATCACTCTTGAGCTTGGTGATTCTATTTCTATTCTTTCGGCCATTCACACATTTGAAGAAGTAGCTTGTGTTCTGATCACCCTCTCTAAGCCATTGCACTCTAGATTTTTGCCTAGCTAAAGACTCCTCATCTCGACTTAAAGATTTAAAATTAAAAGCTTTGGCTTTTTCCTCAAGAATAAGGTTCTCTTCAAGAGGATTAGAGGCAAGAGCATGCTGGACCCTTACGAGGTTTTCTCTAGCTTCAATAACTCTTGCCGAGATATTCCCAAACTCCCTCTTGTTAAACACTTTTAATGCTTCTTTGACTCTCTTCAATTTAGTGACCAATTGATACATAGGGGTACCCCTAACTTCTTCTTCCCAAGCTTTACTAACAATGCTAATGAAATTTTCATGGTGAGCCCAAAAGTTGAAGAACCGAAATGGGATTTTCCTAGGTGAAGACATAACCCCACACTCAACAATACAAGGAGAATGGTCCGAAATGCTTGGGGTGAGGAAATTGGCTTTGGAATTACCAAACACACAGCCCCACTTTTCATTCACAAGAACTCGATCAATCTTAGTAGTAATCCTATGCTCCCCTTCTCTCATATTACTCCAAGTGAAAAAGCTGCCCATAAACGGAAGGTCCTCAAGCCTAGTCTCATTACACATATTATTCAAGTCCAAAACATAATTTCTCCACCTATAGGAACCCCCAATTTTTTCATGCCTAAATCTCATCGCATTGAAATCACCCATAATCACCAATGGTATTTCCTCAAAATCTTAAGCTTTACCCATCAAGTCTCTCCATAATTCTTTCCTTTCTAGCGGACCATTGGAGCCATATACAAATGAACAAACAAAGAAGTAATTAGAGTCCAGAATAACAACCTTACCATGAATGGCTTGAGCCGTAGATTGTATGACTTCGAACCTCACCAAACTAGGGTTCCAAACAACCCAAATTCTACCATTAGGGCAGCACACATAGTTATGGATAACATCCCATCCCCCAAATGTCAAGGACTTAGTAACCTCAAAATTTTGTTCACGAACTCTAGTTTCCAAGATACCACAAATTGCAATTTTATTGGAAGAGATTAGATGTCTAACCTCTTTTTGTTTCAAAGGGGAATTAAGACCCCTTACATTCCACAAAGCAAGCTTAATCATGGGACGGCTGGGCTCTAGGAACTTCTCTCGCCTTCCTGGCTAATCTCCTCCTTTGGCTTTCAGAAAGACTTCTATTCCCCTCCTTAAGACATTGCTTTTCATCTACTCGAATCAAATTTCCGAATCTCACAATAGTCGGTGAAGTAGACCCCATTTCATGCCCCTCATTATTTTCCACCAAGGGACCCCTAGGTGGGGTTACTTCTCCGCCGTTGTCACAAGCACTCAGAGCATTCAACCTTTTGCTTACTTCCAATCTCCTCTCTTCTATGTTAGGAACACTCACCCCATATTCATTCCCCTTAACACACTTACCCCAATCGTCACACGCACCTCGATTATTACCCCTGTTAAGATCAGCCCCGCTAGGAACATTTACCCCACTCATTTCATCCTTATCTTTTCCAAACCTATCTTCGACATTCTCACTACCCTCTTCGCCATCTAGTTCCCCATTATGCAGCCTATTGCCCGAACTAAGAACCACAAATTGATTAGTGGAGGGTTTTGTTTTACTAACCATGACTCTCGACTCATTAATGGGCTGCTGTTTTTTGCGGCTAGATCTCTCGCCCACATTCTCCGCTTGCACAACCATGTCCTTTGACACATTCTCCTTCCTCTTAGTCACCATTCGCCATTCTTGAGTAAGATTCAAGTTCTTGTTCTCAGCGCTTTCCTTCTCAAATCTAGGGGCCAAGTGACATTCCTTCAAATTATGCCCAAAAGTTCTACACAAAGGGCAGGGCCTCGGTTTCCAAGAATACTCCACCCCTATGTTTACACAATCACCATTCGGAAGGCCTAGTTCCACTGAATTCGGGAATGAAGAAGTTGTGTGTAAAACCCCCCTCCAGTCAGGTATCCTCTGAATATCCCTCAATGAGAATCCCGAGGATACATGTCTGGAGAACGAGTTGTATTTAGAAAAAATCTGTATAAGGATAATAATAATAATATCCAAAACATGCATATAAAATATCACGCAGGATCTAAACTTATAATTTACAAACTTTAAGAAATTACACAATCAAAACATATTTATAGGGTGGAAGCTTCCAAATGTATTTCACAAATATTTATCATTTACATATTTACATCAAGATGATAATAAATCATCTCCCCTCACGTGTAGTCCCGCTGTCTCTAGCATCCCTCGCTTCTAGTCTACCTGCAAAGCAATCAACAATGAAAGGGTGAGCGCTAATCGCTCAGTAAGGAATGATCCGTTTCTCTGTTAACACATCACTTATTTTTTTTTTTACATCTAGGGATACCTCCCCTTTTATTACTAATTCATATGCTTTTCATCATTTTATCCCATGGCTATATAAACATCAATGTGTACACACACATCACATATCATGACATAACATCTAAAATCATCTAACATGAGTATAAATCATCTCATGATGTAAATAACATCATAACTCATGTAATGCAACTAAATGCATATGAAACATTTAACGTCTAGCCGATCGGACTTTTCTTAGCATCTTAAGCACTTCATATCATCTAGCCTCAAATTTCATCTAGAGCTCATATCATCGGGAGGCGTGCTTACGCGTTATTTAGCATCTAAAGCATATATTCATCTTTCCTCAACCGGTATACGAGGATATGCTTACGCGTTTTCCATCGTGTCTATATGCATCTCTATCATGTCTATTTGCATCTCTAACATCTTATGGCATGTAAATACATATTTTGGTGAGCTTAATACTTTTAATTCATCTATGGATTATCAATCCATTTACATTACCTCTTGCTCACATACATCATCTTAAAACATGTATTATATTGCATCTTCATGCCATTTCATAACATTAATCATGTATTGACATCATGACCATGTATATCTTTCAAAGATCATCTAACTAATGGGTAAACATTAGTACATGGCATAATTACAATAATACATTAATAATCAATTCATAATCATAAGAATTGATTATGTTAAATCTTAAACTTTAATAACCAGTTTATGCTTCAGGCCATTTTCCATCCTTTTCTCAAACGAATTGGCTCTTGGCATAAACATAAAAGTTATAGGTCTGTGTCTTAGCTTTCTAATGCTTCAAGAATCATCTCATTTCGATTTTTATAACTCAAGTTATGGTCGAAATACAGAAGCAGGGTTAACAAAACCCCTAAGCCCATTAAATCCGAATTTTCATATTAACTATGCCACATCAATTCCTATTGACATTAACCAATAGGTTAACTTGTGGATCAAATAAACCTCCCCTTAATAGTCTTTAACATCTTAAAGGAAGTGTAAAATCTCATTTCCATAATCATCCATTATTGCTATAACATTGTAAGCTAATGCAAACAACACATCAACACTTCTAATAGCAACCATTCAACACCATGTGGCCTCCAATACTACAATTTTTGCCACAATCAGTATCCACACTTCATTTTCTTCAATCAAACATAACAACTCATAAAACATAAAGAGCAATAACTTCATGTATAATGAATTCAAGGCAATAAGTAGAATAAATGAGTTCAACTACACTTGCCATCAACTAATTCTATGCCTTAAAGCCTTAATTTAAGGTTTCATAAAAATCTACAAACCCTAGCATAAACCCTAAAGTCATGGGAGGTTCTTCCTTACCTTTTTAAAGACTTCCTCCAACAAATCCTTTGCCTTTGACTTCTTTTACACCTTAATCCTACATATATAACATTATACCTCAACATCTACCTCAAATCTTCAAATCACATCAAAACTAAAGTTTTTAATCCTTACCTTAAACCCTTCAAATTGAAGATCCAAGGCTCCTATCTTGTTCTCCTTGAAAAATTATGCAAAACTCCTTGAAAACCTAGAGAAAGAAAGCTTGTTTCATGGAAGATTTGAGAGAAAATGGAAGAAATGTTGAAGAAAGGCTCTCTCCTTTGGCTTGAACGAATTTCATCTCATTTATAGGAAAATATTTCATTTATTTTCCAAAATTATGCAATTGGCCCAATTATTTTAATTGTATAACTCATAAGTCCTTAATTCTTCATATAAGGGCATTTTGGTCATTTCACACTAGACATAATTATTACTTAATTAATGCCATTAAATGCAATGAAGCCTACTCATCCTTGACTTTTTCAATGCTTATCCATAGGCAAAATAACCATTTTGCCCCTAAGCCTCTTTATGGATAATTGATTCATACCGTTCCAAATGAATTGACTATTTTGCCCTTAGTTAGATTTTATGCTTTTTAACATAAAATAAACATTTAAAGGACTATTTTGAGTTAGGAACATACCTTTGACATCTTGGGTATTACATTGTGTCAATTTCAACACAAACTCTTGCATACTCCAATCTATCCCCCGCATCCGTGATGTTATCTATGTAGAGAGGTTTCCCAATAGCGCTCGCAACATAGCTCAACCCTTTAGCAATCCAAAACTCCAATGGAACTCTACTAAATTTGACCCAAATTGGCACACTACTAATGCCTTCACCTGCCATTTTTAAATTCGGACGCCATTTTTTTAGGAAAAGGGGCTGCCCCCCAATATGCCAAGGGCCCCCTTCCAAGGCCTCATCCCTGGAGCTCTCATTATCAAATTTCAGAATAAATCCCCCAACCCCATTTGAGACAACACCAACCTTGCCGAAGCACTTCCAATTCCTATCGATAAAACCCTTCACAAGAGAGAATGGCAACCTTCTACCAAGGAAAAAACCAACGAGACAATTTCCCCATTTGTCCCTCCCCAAATCAGCAACCTCTTTAGGAGGTATAACCCTTATCCACCTCCCATCATCAAGGATTTCCGGTGCAAAATATTCCATTGGAGCACTGGATTTCGAAACAAAAAGTTTTCTCCAGGATGCAATACCAACAGGCTTCAATTCCCCATCCACCTTTTCCCCCATAGTCCCACCTCCACTCACCGCTTTCTCGCCATGCATCATAATTGGAGGCACCTTTGAATCAACCAGTGCATTCCCATCACACATTTCCACACCAAACTTATCAATCTCTTTTCCACCCATAACTTGCTGCTTCTTAAGCACCCTACCAAAACTCTTTGCCTCACTTGTATTCAAAGAATTCACAAGAAAAGGACCATTGTGAGGCAAAGTATGGCTTTGGGAAGGCTTGGGAAGTGGAGGGAAAATTTTTTTTTTCGGTGATGTGGAAGGGCTGGTGATGTGGCAGGCTGACGTGGCATCTTAGGGGACGTGGCAAGATGAGTCAGCTTGAGATTGATGAGGTGGAGGGGAGAGATGGATGATTGGTTGGTGAGTTGTCATAATTTGAAGTCAAAGCGATAAGAGATAAGGAAATCAAAGGGGAACCAATGAAAAACAAGTGACGTGGCAAAAAACTTATGAAACAGCCTATTAACCAGTCCAAAGAGATGTGGATAAGAAAAAAATCTCAAAAATCCAAATGAGCCAATGAGAGAGAAGGGTACCAATGGATAGCACTTGCATGGATTCAAGCTATCTCACTTAACTAGTGAACGACAACAAAAAATGGCAAACAACTCCAGCCAAAACAGCAAAGCTCCAGCCAAAGAAGCACCCACACTCCGGTGACCAGCAAGAATCCGGCAACAACAAGCTACACCACCAACCCACTCTACATTTTCGATCAAAACAGAACCACAAACAGCCCCTTTACTCCTACCTCACTTCAATACCAAACAGCAACTAGGGAAATGTGTGCCTGGGAGGTAGAGAGACAATGAAGTCTTCTCAGCAGCCACAGTTCAAATCCCATAGGATTGAAAGAACGAAAAAAAAAAAAAAAAACACCAAACAACAACTCCAAAAAAACGAAAATAAACAAAATGACTCCAGCAACCAGCAAAACTCAAGCCACCCACTTTCTTCCAATCCGGCCAAGCCAAGAAACAGCCCACACAAACTAGATCAACCACAACAGCCACCAACAAGCAAAAGAGAAGACAGGACAGCAAACAACCAAGGAGCTTGATTTAAACCCAAATAAAACCCCCAAACAAAGCAAAGAAGGACTGAAACGTAGCAAACAAAAAGGTTAACAAAAACAGAAAAAACAAAGTGCAGGTTTGTGAAGGAAAATGTGAAAAGAAAAGAAAAGGAAATGATGAAGCTCTCTGGTTAGAGGGACAAGTGAAGTTTAATGGTAAAAGTGGCCATTCACTCTTGGGGTTAATCTTAAACCACAAAAACCAAGAAGAGAGCAAAGAGAACAATAACAATTCCGCCAACCATAGGACACCTCCTTCGGTTAGGATCACTTAAAAGAAAAACACAAGATCAAACTCGTTACAAATGATAGAAACACAACCAAGCAAAAACCATTATGCGTAACGCTCCGTAATCCAGTCTTCAAACGGTGTCGGGAACTAGAGGAACATCTTTGAAAATAGATCTAGGCAAGCCCCAATCATTCGCCAACTTCGTATTGCTATAGGATACTTTGACATTCCTAAGATTCATAGCTTTGTCTCTCACAACACTTTTGATAACATCAATTATGGTGAAGGAATCCTTATAATCACCCCTAAAAATCCTTGAATTTCGCTCCCTCCAAATCCAATGAACCGTAGCCCCTAAACAAAGCCTACCCAAAGTGAATTTTAGGCTCTTATGTTTCCATTTCCTTGCCAAATGGGGGATGTAATAATGCCAGGGTCTAGCCACATAGCCAAGGTCAGCAAGCATAAGGATCTTACTCCAGATAGACTTAGAAAAAGGGCATGCAAAAAATAAGTGGTCAAGAGATTCCATAGATGAGTTACAAAGGCAACAAAGAGCGTTAGTATTAGCCCCATACCTCATCAACCTTTCCTTTGTAGGTAATCTCTCCTTAATAGCCATCCATAAGATCATAGAGTATCTTGGGATAGCCTTTGAGAACCACACCAAGTCATACCTCTCAACTTTTGCTCTTCTTCCTCTAATAGCTTCCCAAGCCAATTTGGTAGAGAAATCACCCGAAGGTGAGGGTATCCAACAAATCTTGTCATCAACATTGGAAGGTGTGAAATTCACAGAGTTCCTCATATTAATAAGAGCCCAAAAATTGGCACTTGGCCACTTCCAATTGCATCCATCAATCACAGAACTCACTTTAGCATCCTTAGCAATCCCTGCATCATAAATAATCCTTTTCCCATATACACAAACAAGGGGGCCGTTCGGGTGCCAGTTATCAAACCAAAGAGAGGTGGTGTTACCATTGCCAATGCGACATTTGATATTCTTTCTAGCCATTTCCCTATTTTTTAGGATATGTCTCCATGACCATGTACAATTTTGGGGGAATGCTGATGTCCCAAATGCTTCTATTTCTCAAAAGATGAATTTGGACCCAAGAGACCCACAAAGTATGGTTTCTATGATTGCACAGGTTCCAAATATGTCTTAAAGAAGCGGCGAGGTTCCATTCCTTACATTTCATAAACCCAAGCCCGCCCTCATTTTTGGGTACACATACCTCCTCCCAAGCTATTCTAGCTTTGTGTCTATTCATATCAACTCCAGACCAAAGAAAAGCTCTCAACCTAGCATCAATTTCCTTCTGAATGGCCGTTTATAAGCTTGTTTCCTTTGATTCCTATTTTGGGGCATGTCCCAAAATAGGCTGGTCGCCCTTTATCAGGCCTTTGTACATTCTTCTCTTTTTTAATATATTTACTTACTTAACAAACAAAAAAAAATGCCAATGAGGATAGAGACGAATGAACTCCAACTATCAAGGCTGTTTTCTTGAATAAGTTTGAGGAGGGTGATATAGGATCAAGCACTAATTTGTCAACCATTTGAGAGCTTGGTGCGCGTGGATGAAAAGGAAAGATTGGAGAAGGAAAAGAGAAGCTTTTCTAAGAATCAAAGGAAGAAACTAGCGAAGAAGACGAGAACTCCACCTAAGCTACCTTTTAGCCATGGTTAAAGTTGCCGCGTGGAATGTTGGGGGCTTAATTCCCCCATTAGACGAAAAGAGGTAAGGAATTTTATTAGTAGCAATAATTTAAGTTTATGTGCTATTTTGGAGACTAGGTTTAGGGAGAATAATATGGATGTTGTGAGGAAAATGATGTTCCGCAATTGGGATATGGTTGAGAACTATTGTTTTTGTGAAAGGGGGAGAATCTGGGTAGGTTGGGATGGAGATATTTTGCATGTACAGGTTATCCAAGCTTCAGCTCAAGCAATTCTTCGTAAGGTTAGTATATTGAAAGATAATTTCATGCTCTTTTGTTCTATCGTCTATGGGATGAATAGTTTAGGGGAAAGGAAGGAGCTTATTCACTAAGCCAATGTTAGCCACCGTGAGCCATGGGTTATTATGGGTGACTTAATGCGATTAGATTTGCCAGGAAAAGAAGGGAGGTTCTAATACAAGGAATTGATAATGTGAAGAGTTTAATGACATGTGTAAGGAAGCTGATATTGATGATCTTAATGTCATTGGGTCATTCTTCACTTGGAATAACAAAAGAGAGCTCAATAGGAGGATTTGGCGCAAACTTGATCAGGTGATGTGTAACGAGCATTGGAGATGTGAGTTTCCCAACTGTTTTGCTTCCTTCCTTACTCCTGGCATATTGGACCATTGCCCAATGGTGGTTGATAGTGGGCTGAACTTTCAAGGTAGGAAATCCCCCTTCAAGCTTTTCAATTTTTGGGTGGAGCATGAGGACTTTTTACCTATGGTGGAGAGAGTGTGGAGTTTGGAGGTGGACGGTAACCCCATGTATAGGTTGGTCTCTAAGCTAAAAGCGTTGAAGGTTGAGTTTAAGAGACTAAATAGAAAGGAGTTCTAGAACATTTTGGAAAGAGTGAAATTTGCTAGAGATGATCTTGCCCAAGTCCAAGAAAGGCTTTTTATGGATCTGGTTGATGGTGCTCTTTTGTAAGAGGAGAAAGTTAAGGTGGAAAAGATGGTCAAGCTTTCAAAAGCTGAAGAATCATTAGCCAAGCAAAAGTCTTGGGTTAAATGGTTACGGGAAGGGGATGTCAACACTTCTTACTTCATTAAATCGATTGCTGGATGCAGGAATAGAAATAGGATTGTGTCCTTGGAAATTGGGGAAGATTCGGTTACTAGTAATCAAGATAGAATCAAAGAGGGGTTTGTGTCTTTCTACTCCAACCTTTTCTAAGATAAGTGTGTGGATGTTTCCTATGAGGGCATGAAGGAACTTATCACCCTTGTTATTTTGGAGGAGGAGGCCAACTGGATGATTAGTGAGGTTTCCAAAGAAGAGATTCAAGAAACCATGTTTGAAATGAGTAAAGACAAAGCACCAGGGTTGAATGGTTATAAAGCTCTTTCTTTAAAAAAGCCTCGGATATTGTAGGTAATGATTTTTTTAAAGTGATCCAGAATTTCTTCAATTCTGGAAATATGCTTAGAGAGGTGGGTTAGGGATTGGGAGAGCTAAAGATTGGAATAAGATAGCCATGATGAGACATATTTGGAACCTTAATCAAATACATAGTGGCTCCGGATAGGTTGAGTGGATCAAAGCAACCTACTGGGCAAGGAAGAGCTTTTGGGAGATTCTAATACCTTCGAATGCTTCTTGGGCTTGGAGGAGCATTTTGAAACTCAGAAGGGAAGCTAGAGAGCACATCAAAGCCATCATCGGAAATGGTCAAGCAACCTATGTTTGGCATGATAATTGGCATCCAAGAGGCCCTCTCAAGGATAGATATGGAAGCCGCATTGTGTATGATTCAGGGCTACATCATCTTGCTAAGGTGTGTGACATTTAGGATGCGACAAGGTGGAGATGGCCAACAGCTTATTCTTGGGCTTTAATGGACATGAAGGATTCTATGCACATCCATAGCGACCCATCCGGAGAGTTCTTGGAACTACTTTTTCGATTCCTATAGTTCAGCTAGGGCCATACGATAAGGGGCTTTAGAAATCGGTGGTGTCCCTGGTGCCAACTCAATGCTAAACTCTATTTCTCTTTCTAGAGGTAAAGCTGACAAATCATTCAGAAATACATCTGGAAACTGCCGGACTATTGGCATATTCTAGATCTCTAATCGAGGGACCACACTACTTTGCACCACATGGGTAATATACTCGGAGCACCCTTTTCTTAATATCTTTCTGGCTTTTACGCTGCTAATCAACATACTTAGCTGGTGGCCCTCTCCGAAACTAAACCTATCGTCTTCATCAAGATTAAACTTTGCTTTCTTTTTTCAGCAATCAATCTCTACTCCATATCTCCTTAGGAAATCCATGCCCAAAGTAACATCAAAATCGGGCATACCAAATACAATCAAATCCACTGTTAACATCCTTCCATGGATTGCTATAGACTCCCCTGAAAGCATCTCCTGAGTTACCACACTATCACCATCTGGCAATTCTATCTTAATGAGCTGATCTACTGTAATAGGTTTTAAACCCAATCTTTCTATAATCCCATGTGTAATAAATGAGTTTGTGGCTCCAGAATCAACTAATGCATAAAGGGGAACTGAGTGAAATAAAAACTGACCAGTAACTCTGTGCAACTGTTTTTGTTCTCTTTGCTCTCTTCTTGGTTTTTGTGGTTTAAGATTAACCCCGAGAGTGAATGGCCATTTGTAGTCTTGTTTCCTTTGATTCCTATTTTGGGGCTTGTCCCAAAATAGGTTGGTCGCCCTTTATCAGGCCTTTGTACATTCTTCTCTTTTTTAATTTATTTACTTACTTAACAAAAAAAAAAACTCTGTGCAACTGTAAATACCAAAGCATTAATACCTCTAGATGTCTATGCTGTGGATGCAGGAGGGGCCTTACAGTCTTTCATCGTATGTCCGGGCTGTCGGCATCTAAAACACACACCCTAGAGACACTCTCCCGGATGATGTTTCCCGTATTTCTGACATTGGGGAAACTCACTAGTCCTTGGCCGTTTATTCTTCCCATCCCTCCTATTCTTCTTTGATTGAAATCTTTTTTTATTCTTCCCTTCCCTATTGCTGGGGGTATCCAATCTGTCTCTCTGTGGAGCGGGAGGTGGAATACTAGACATTGCTTCTGATGGAGTTAACTTATTCACAAATACTTCAGCTTGTAAATCTTGCTCCAAAGCCTTACTATATGAGATCATTTAAAGGATAAATTTTTGCACATAAAACACCATCCACCAGTGTATATTACGTATTTGATCAACACCTGATTGATTGTGCACCTCATGTAACGCAGACTGCAATTCCCAGTGTCCTTGGCAACGAAGTCCTTGTAACAGGCTTTAAAAAAATAAATAAGGAATCAGAATGTCTAATGGAAAAAATGCACTATGGATCTCACAGGAAAGCAAATTAATTATGTTACAGCAGCATAGAAATCAGGTGAAAAGAAAACAAAAAAAAGAAGCACGAGCTCAGTCAAAGATTAAATTTCAGAACATATACCCACATAGCAAATTAAATCAGGTAAAATTTTCACTCTTTTTCAGAGTTGGTAGATAATATACTGGAGGAGGATTAGCCTGATGCCATGAAGGGTTTCATACATGATAACTTAGGAACTTGGATCGGGCCTTGGAATTTATTTTGGGTAAGTAAGCTTTTATAGAATGGGGAAAGAATGTACAAAAGGCCTAAAAGTCGGCCAACCTCCCTTTTTCTAAGTCTATTTGGAGTAAGATCCTTATGCTTGCTGACCTTGGCTATGTGATTAGACCCTGGCATGATTACATCCCCCATTTGGCAAGGAAATTGAAAGGTAAGAGCATAAAATTCACTTTGGGTAGGCTTTGTTTAGGGGCTACGGTTTATTGGATTTGGAGGGAGCGGAATTCGCGAATTTTTAGGGGTGACTATAAGGATTCCTTCACCATAATTGATGTTATCAAAAGTGTTGTGAGAGACAAAGCTATGGAACTTAGGAATGTCTAAGTATCCTATAGCAATAGGAAGTTGGTGAATGATTGGGGCCCCCCTAGATCTATTTTCAAAGATGTTCCTCAAGTTCCCGACACCGTTTTAAGACTGGATTACGGAGGGTTACGCAGAATGGTTTTTGCTTGGTTGTGTTTCTATCATTTGTAACGAGTTTGATATCGTGTTTTTCTTTTAATGATCCTAACCTAGGGAGGTATCCTATGGTAGGTGGAATTGTTGTTGTTCTCTTTGCTTTCTTCTTGGTTTTTGTGGTTTAAGATTAACCCGAAGAGTGAATGGCTATTTGTAGGCTTGTTTCCTTTGATTCCTATTTTGGGGCATGTCCCAAAATAGGCTGGTCGCCCTTTATCAGGCCTTTGTACATTCTTCTCTTTTTTTAATATATTTACTTAACAAAAAAAAAAAAAAGTCAGCCAACCTACCTCAGGACAAGCTTTGGGTAAGGAGCAAAGGAATGATACTATCTAAGTCTACCCCTAATCTTCTCTTTTTCCCATTCCTCTTGTCAAAGGAATGGAACCAAGCGGAGATTAAAGAATACAATGAATCCCACCTACCACAGGACATGTCCTGGGTTAGCTTCAAAAGCATCAGAGTACAAAACCCATATGCATAAGCATTAACAAAGAGAATTCCATAAACATGGACATTAACAAGGTAAGGCCTGTTAATGACACAAAGACAAAGCATTAGATCAACACCCCAAGTCTTCCAATAGCCAAAGTAGCCTCTTCTAGCACAATCAACTGCTGGGATGTCATAAAACCAAATCCCCTTACACCACCGAAAACCCATCACAAAACAACAATCCATAAAATTAGCTCCTATGGGATGTTTTAAAAATAGATATGGGAAGACCCTATTTCTCGGCAAGTCTTTCTATTGTAGGTATTCTTTAGGATCTTGCTAAGGTCCATAGCTCTCTCCCTCACCACATTTTTGATGGAGTTGTTGAGAGTATGTGCATCCTTGCATTCCCCACCAAATATCTGGCTATTCATCTCTCTCCAAATAGAGTAAACGGTGGCTCCCAAACTTAGCTTCCCTATAAAGTACTTTAGCTTATTCTTCCTCCACCTACTAGCTATGTGCTCAACATAATCATTCCAAGGCCAGGTGACATACCCAAGAGAAGAGAGCTCAAGGATTCGGTTTCAAATCCTTTGGGTGAAAGAGATGATCGATCGTTTCTTGCCCATGATTACAAAAACAACACACATTGCTAGAAGCTAGTCCAAACCTCATCAGTTTGTCCCTAGTCTGTAGCTGATCCTTACATGCCATCCACGTGATCATGGAGTGTTGTGGAATAGCTTTTGGGAACCATACAATGTGATGCCACTCTACTCGGTGTTGGTGCACACGAGTAACCTCCCAGGCCGATTTTATAGAGAACTTACCGGATGCATTAGACTTCCAAGGCCTTGGAATTTGAAAGTTGGTCAGGATTGAGTGCAAATCCCGATAAGAGCAATATCTTCCTTTCTGGTGTGAGTGACAATGAAAAGATGGAGCTCTTAAGTTTGATAGGATTTGCCGAGGGTAGTTTTCCCATCAAATACTTAGGTGTACCCCTTATTACCTCTAAGCTTACCTTTGGAGATTGTCGACCTCTCTTGGATAAAATCTTGGCTCGGGTTGCCTCTTGGAGAAGTAGGTTTCTATCCTATGCAGGGAGGATTATTTTGATTAAATCCACTCTTTGGAGTGTGCAAATTTATTGGTCGTCCCTCTTGAATCTTCCTTCCAAAAAATCATAAGGAAATTGATGCTAGTTTGAGAGCTTTTCTTTGTCGGAGTTGATATGAATAGACACAAAGCTAGAATAGCTTGGGAGGAGGTTGTGTACCCAAAAATGAGGGCGGGCTGGGTTTATGAAATCTAAGGACTGGAACCTCGCAGCTTCTTTAAGACATATTGGAAACTATGCAATCACAGAAACCATACTTATGGGTCTCTTGGGTCCGAATTTATCTTTTGAGAAATCGAGCATTTGGGACATATGCATTCCCCAAAATTGACATGGTCATGGAGACATATCCTCAAAATAGGGAAAGGGCTAGAAAGAATATCAAATATAACATTGGCAATGGTAACCCCACCTCTCTTTGGTTGATAACTAGCCCGAACGGCCCCTTGTTTGTACTATGGGGAAAGGATTATTATGATGCGGGGATTGCTAAGGATGCTAAAGTGAGTTCTGTGATTGATGGATGCAACTGGAAGTGGACAACTGCCAATTCTTGGGCTCTTATTAACATGAGGAATTCTGTGAATTCACTCCTTCGAATGTTGATGACAAGATTTGTTGGAACCCTCACCTTCGGGGGATTTCTCTACCAAATCGGTTTGGGAGGCAATTAGAGGAAGGAGAGCAAAAGTTGAGTGGTGTGACTTGGTGTGGTTCTCAAAGGTTATTCCAAGATACTCTATGATCTTATGGATGGCTATAAAGGAGATATTACCTACAAAGGACAGGTTGATGAGGTATGGGGCTACTACTAATGTCATTGTTGCTTTTGTAACTTATCTATGGAATCTCTTGACCACTATTTTTTGCATGCCCTTTTTCTAAGTCTATGTGGAGCAAGATCCTTAGTCTTGTTGACCTTGGTTATGTGGTTAGACCCTGGCATGATTACATCCCCATTGGCAAGGATATGGAAAGGTAAGAGTTAAAATTCACTTTGGGTAGGCTTTGTTTAGGGGCTACGGTTTTATGGATTTGGAGGGAACGAAATTCGCGAAGTTTTAGGGGTGACCATAGGATTCTTTCACCATAATCGATGCTATCAAAAGTGTGTGAGAGATAAAGCTATGGACCTTAGGAATGTTACAGCATCCTACAGAATAGGAAGTTGGCGAATGATTGGGGCCTCCCTAGATCTATTTTCAAAGACGTTCCTCAAGTTCTCAACACCGTTTGAAGATTGGATTACAGAGGGTACGCAGAGGTTTTTGTGGTTGTTTTGTCTCATTGGTAAAGAGTTTGATTTTGTGTTTTCTTTTAATGATCCTAACCTAGGGAGGTGTCCTATGGTAGGTGGGATTTTGGTGTGTCTCTTCTTTTTCTTGGTGTTTATCTCCCTTTGGGGTTTAGATAAACCCCTAGAGCGGATGGCTGTTTGTAGGTTGTTTTTTGTTTCCTATTTTTGAGGCATGTCCCAAAATAGGCTGGTGCCTTTTATTAGGCCTTTGTACATTTTCTGTTTTTTTTAATATGATTATTACTTATCAAAAAAAAAAAAAAAAGAATTTGAGTAGAATCAACCTTTGATTGCCCTTCCTAGGGAACCCTGGCTTGGCGCACTATATGGTACGTGATCATGGAGGTAACATTAGGTGTTGCATTTGCACGCATCAATTTTTGGCACTGTGTCGCTGGGGATTTTCATTAACTTAATTATTTTTCAATGTTTATTTATTCTTTGTTTTTTAGCTGTAGGTGTTTTTGGTGAATGAGCTCGCGATACAATTTGAGATCGAATCCGTATTCTGAGCTAATTCAACCTGTTACTCATTTGCGACAACCTTTGCATAGATTAACTCTCGATCAAGCAATCCATACTGATCTTCCACTCAAAAGTGATTCTTCTGATTTTTCTGATCAAGAGTAGATGGCTAATCTAACTGTCAAAGAGATGGCTACACCAACCCTTGACCGACAACTTTTATGCATTCGATACAATGATACGACAGAGGGAGCTTTTGAGCTTAAATCTGGGATGATTCATCTTCTACCAATTTTAGAGGTTTAGCGGGAGAGGATCCACACAACCATCTTAAGGAGTTCCGTGTGGTGTGCTCGAGTAGGAAACCAAATGGAACAACGGAGGAACAAATGAAGTTAAGGGCGTTCCCATTTTCTTTATCAGATAGTGCTAAGGAATGGCTTTATCACCTCGCATCCGAGACCATAACTACTTGGGCGTTCCTATTTTCTTTGGCAGCATCTCGAGCCACACTTATTAAGAAAGAAGTTTGTGGGATTTGGCAACCTAATGGGGAAAACTTATATGAATATTGGGAAAGGTTTAAAAAATTCTGTGCTGGCTGTCCGCATCATCAAATAAATGACGCAAAAATTGTGTCCTAAATGGAACAAATAAATGGGGTGTTTGTTGATAAAACTCCTACTGAAGGAAGGAATTTAATTGAACCCGTGGCGGCAAACTGTCAAGAATTGGTACTTGATCCGATCCACCACCAAGGAAGGTAAATGAAGTGGGGATATCCAATAATCTTTATCAACAATTGAGTAATTTGATAGCGCTAGTGATGAGGACGCGTGGAATTTGCTCGAATGTGGGACATCCTACCGATATGTGTCGTACCCTTCAAGAGGCAAATTCGGAACAAGCAAATGCCATGGGAGGATACCAAGGAAAACAAAGGCGAAGGTAGGATCCATTTTCCAATACCTATAATTCGGGATGGAGGGATCACCCTAACCTTAGCTATAGAGGAGATCAACAAGTTATTGTCACTAATAATCCACCCGGTTTCCCTTACCCATGAGCTCCACAACCATGCCAAGCAAAACCCCAAAATGTTTCCCAACCTCAAGGTAAGTCTTTGAATGACTTGGTAAAATCATTAGCAACTAGCTCTCTTCAATTTCAGCAAGAGAATCTCAAGTTCTAACAAGAAACAAAAATGCCAATCAAGAATTTGAAAAGCCAAGTTAGTCGATTGGCTACTACTGTTGGAAGATTAGAGGCTCATGGGTCTGGAAAGCTTCCTTCCCAACCTTTAGTAACGCAAGGGAGAATGCTAGTGCCATTTCTTGAGAAGTGGAAGACAAATGATGAGAAAGAAGTTGGAGAAAAGTACATGTCAGCATTCCTTTGTTGGATGCAATAAAGCAAGTGCGAAATTTCTTAAAGAATTGTGCACCAACAAGAGAAAACTTAAGGGAAACGAGGTGGTGAGCATGGGAGAAGATGTTTTAGAAGTTTGCAAAGAAAGCTTCCAACAGTGCAAAGATTCGGGTAGTTTCACCGTACCATGCATCATAGGCAACACAAGGATTGAGAAAGCAATGTTAGACTTAGGCAACACAACACAAGTTCTGCTTTTATTTTTATTTTTATCATAAATTATCAAGGAATAGATATGAATAATTATAAAAGCCAAAGGGGAAGTCGAGTAGATGAAAAGGAAGGTCTTAAGGAGGGGAACAGAAGTCTTTCTAAAAGCCAAATGAGGAGATTAGCCAGAAAGGTGAGAGAAGTTCCTAGTGCCCAGCCGTCCCATGATTAAGCTTGCTTCGTGGAATGTAAGGGGTCTTAATTCCCCTTTGAAACAAAAAGAGGTTAGACATCTAATCTCTTCCAATAAAATTGCAATTTGTGGTATTTTGGAAACTAGAGTTTGTGAACCAAATTTTTAGGTTACTAAGTCCTTGACATTTGGGGGATGGGATGTTATCCATAACTATGTGTGCTGCCCTAATGGTAGAATTTGGGTTGCTTGGAATCCTAGTTTGGTGAGGTTCAAAGTCATACAATCTACGGCTCAAGCCATTCATGGTAAGGTTGTTATTCTGGACTCTAATTACTTCTTTGTTTGCTCATTTGTATATGGCTCCAATGGTTCGCTAGAAAGGAAAGAATTATGGAGAGACTTGATGGGTAAAGCTCAAGATTTTGAGGAAATACCATGGGTAATTATGGGTGATTTCAATGCGATGAGATTTGGGCATGAAAAAATTGGGGGTTCCTATAGGTGGAGAAGTTATGTTTCAGACTTGAATAATATGTGTAATGAGACTAGGCTTGAGGACCTTTGGTTTATGGGTAGCTTTTTCACTTGGAGTAATATGAGAAAAGGGGAGCATAGGATTACTACTAAGATTGATCGAGCTCTTGTGAATGAAAAGTGGGGCTGTGTGTTTGGTAATTCCATAGCCAATTTCCTCCCCCCAAGCATTTCGAACCATTCTCCTTGTATTGTTGAGTGTGGGGTTATGTCTTCACCTAGGAAAATCCCATTTCGGTTCTTCAACTTTTGGGCTCACCATGAAAATTTCATTAGCATTGTTAGTAAGGCTTGGGAAGAAGAAGTTAGGGGTACCCCCTATGTATCAATTGGTCACTAAATTGAAGAGAGTCAAAGAAGCATTAAAAGTGTTTAACAAGAGGGAGTTTGGGAATATCTCGGTAAGAGTTATTGAAGCTAGAGAAAACCTCGTAAGGGTCCAGCATGCTCTTGCCTTTAATCCTCTTGAAGGGAACCTCATTCTTGAGGAAAAAGCCAAAGCTTTTAATTTTAAATCTTTAAGTCGCGATGAGGAATCTTTAGCTAGGCAAAAATCTAGAGTGCAATGGCTTAGAGAGGGTGACCAGAACACAAGCTACTTCTTCAAATGTGTGAATGGCCGAAAGAATAGAAATAGAATAACCAAGTTTAAGAGTGATAACGACATGGTTTTTGAAGACCCTTTGAGCATTAAGGAGGAAATTGTCAGCCACTTTAAAAGAGTTTTTGAGAAGCCGATGGGTGCGAGGGACTACCGAGGTTTACAAGAACTTATTGAACCTTGCATCACTAGTGATATGGCTAATAGGATGACTGCTGAAGTGATGGATGAGGAAATCAAGAACACTCTGTTTTCTTTGGGCAATAACAAAGCTCTTGGACTAGATTGTTTTTGTGCTTATTTCTTCAAGAAAGCTTGGGATGTGGTGGGCAAAGATGTGACTATGGCTATTAAAGACTTCTTCAAAGAGGGCAAGCTTCTTAGGGAAATTGTACTTCAATTGCTCTTATTCCCAGTGTGATAATGCTTCTTTGTGTAAGGACTACAGGCTCATTTCTTGCTGCAACATAATTTATAAATGTATCACCAAGATCATTGCAAATAGAATTAAGAGTGCTTTACCTCTCTTCATTGACCCGGCACAAGCAGCCTTTGTTGGTGATAGGAGAATAGGAGATAATATCCTGTTATGCCAAGAACTGTTGCACAACTACAATCGAGCTTTGGCCAAGGAGAAAAGTTATGCTTTGAAAGTTGATTTATTGAAGGCTTATGACTTGGTTAATTGGGAGTTTCTCTTACAAGTCCTTAAGAGTTTTGGATTCCCGAGTGTACTTGTCAATTGGATATCCCAATGCATCACTACTCCTAGGTTCTTGGTGGTCATCAATGGGGAGCTGGTGGGTTTCTTTGGGAGCTCTAGAGGGCTGAGACAAGGGGATCCGTTATCCCCTTACTTGTTTGTTATTGCTATGGAGGTTCTCTCAAGGCTCTTGAATAGAGTGGCGGCTAATCCGAACTTTAGTTTTCATTGGAGATGCATGAAAATGGGGCTGACTCATCTTTGTTTCGTGAACGATCTCATGTTTTTTTGTAAAGCCAAAGGTACTTCTCTATCTCTCCTTAAGAATGCTTTAATTATCTTTGAAAGTTGGTTAGGATTGAGTGCTAATCCGGATAAGAGCAATATCTTCTTTTCTGGTGTGAATGACAATGAGAAGATGGAACTCTTAAGTTTGATAGGTTTTGTCGAGGCTACTCTACCTATAAAATACTTAGGTGTACCCCTTATTACCTCTAAGTTAACCTTTGGGGATTGCCAACCTCTCTTGGATAAAATCTTGGCTCGGGTTACCTCTTGGAGAAGTAGGTTTTTATCCTATGCGGGGAGGATTATTTTGATTAAGTCGATTCTTTGGAGTATCCAGATTTATTGGTCGTCTCTTTTTATTCTTCCTGCCAAAATTCAGAAGGAAATTGATGCTAGGTTGAGAGCTTTTCTTTGGTTCGGAGTTGATATGAATAGACACAAAGCTAGAATAGCTTGGGAAGAGGTATGTGTACCCAAAAATGAGGGCGGGCTTGGGTTCATGAAATGTAAGGAATGGAACCTCGCCGCTTCTTTAAGACATATTTGGAACCTGTGCAATCATAGAAACCATACTTTGTGGGTCTCTTGGGTCCGAATTCATCTTTTGAGAAATAGAAGCATTTGGGACACCAGCATTCCCCAAAATTGTACATGGTCATGGAGACATATCCTAAAAAATAGGGAAATGGCTAGAAAGAATATCAAATGTCGCATTGGCAATGGTAACACCACCTCTTTTTGGTTTGATAACTGGCACTCGAACGGCCCCCTTGTTTGCGTCTATAGGGAAAGGATTATTTATGATGCAAGGATTGCTAAGGATGCTAAGGTGAGTTCTGTGATTGATGGATGCAATTGGAAGTGGCCAAGTGCCAATTCTTGGGCTCTTATTAATATGAGGAACTCTATGAATTTCACACCTTCCAATGTTGATGACAAGATTTGTTGGATACCTTCACCTTCGAGGGATTTCTCTACCAAATCGGCTTGGGAAGCTATTAGAGGAAGAAGAGCAAAAGTTGAGTGGTGTGACTTGGTGTGGTTCTCAAAGGCTATCCAAAGATACTCTATGATCTTATGGATGGCTATTAAGGAGAGATTACCTACAAAGGAAAGGTTGATGAGGTATGGGGCTACTACTAATGCTCTTTGTTGCCTTTGTAAACTCATCTATGGAATCTCTTGACCACTTATTTTTTGCATGCTCTTTTTCTAAGTCTATCTGGAGTAAGATCCTTATGCTTGCTGACCTTGGCTATGTGGCTAGACCCTGGCATGATTACATCCCCCATTTGGCAAGGAAAAGATAAGAGCCTAAAATTCACTTTGGGTAGGCTTTGTTTAGGGGCTACGGTTTATTGGATTTGGAGGGAGCGAAATTCATGGATTTTTAGGGTGACTATAAGGATTCCTTCACCATAATTGATGTTATCAAAAGTGTTGTGAGAGACAAAGCTATGGATCTTAGGAATGTCAAAGTATCCTATAGCAATAGGAAGTTGGCGAATGATTGGGGCCTTCCTAGATCTATTTTCAAAGATGTTCCTCTAGTTCCTGACACTGTTTGAAGACTGGATTATGGAGCGTTATGCAGAATGGTTTTTGCTTGGTTGTGTTTTTATCATTTGTAACGAGTTTGATCTTGTGTTTTTCTTTAAAATGATCCTAACCTAGGGAGGTGTCCTATGGTAGGCGGAATTGTTGTTGTTCTCTTTGCTCTCTTCTTAGTTTTTGTGGTTTAAGATTAACCCCAAGAGTGAATGGCCGTTTGTAGGCTTGTTTCCTTTGATTCCTATTTTGGGGCATGTCCCAAAATAGGCTGGTCACCCTTTATCAGGCCTTTGTACATTCTTCTCTTTTTTAATTTATTTACTTACTTAACAAAAAAAAAAAAAAAAAAAAAAAAAAGGACATTGCCCAATTTAGGTTGGGACATAGAAATATTAATTATTTGTTATGTCTAAGTATGTATTTACATTTGTTGTTGCTGTATTAGTCTAGGGTTTAATTTATATGTCAATGATATGATTATAATTGTGATAACATGTAATGTTTAGAAGATGCTAAATGTTGCTTAGGTTTAAGGGTAACTTCAAATAATTAGTTTCATCTAGTTTGAGACTCTCATGCTATGTGGTATGATTTGGTTGGTTTGTCTTAAGGCTTAGTGATGTTTGTTATGTGTGAATTTTCATAGACATTTTTGCGATCTCAACAAATTCTAGAACTCACTTAATAATGACTTGAGGTGAAATCCCAGAATGCACATTACTTAGGGTATGATTTGGGCTATCTTTGGAACGTTTGAGTCTTTCAAGCCAACCCTTTATTTAAATTATCGCTAGCTACCCCTTTGAGCCATTATTAACCACATTTAGCCTTGACTTTCTTTCATGTAATCTAAATTAACCCACCATTATTTTGAGCAAAAAACACATTCCCACCCTTTAATTTTTAACAGACTTAATCTAAGTACAAGAAGTGAGGGTGAAGGTTTCTGAAGATTTTCAATTTATTCCGAATGTGCTCAAAATAATAGGTTGGGGGTTGTGGAGTATTTTTTAATCAAGAGTTGGGGTAGCATTTTTTGCTTTCTTTTCTTTCTCCGAAGAAAAAAAAAAGAGAGAGAAGAAGAAACGAAAGGAACCAAAGAAAGAAAGAAAGAAAAAAGTATTGAGAAACATTGCAAAGTGTAAATGATGCAATAAAATTATTTTTGATGAAGGGTGGAAAAAGTTGGGTGTAAAGAAGAATGATGGTGCGTGAATGAAAGTGTTTGAAAGAAATAGGATTGAGTCTCTTCTTTTTGCTTATCTTTTCTGTTCTTTCATAACCTCATAACCTAGCCTAACATTGCAAGCTTAATAAAGACCTATTTGATCCGAGGTAGTGTGATCATTTTGCAATAGTGGAGAGTAGTTTGAAAAGTGAGCCTATGGAATTTGATTCTATACATTATATTATATTTTTTTTAAATTTTGAGATCAATTCTTTTTTTGTAAAGTTTGTGCATGTGATCATCCGGGTTTTGAGATTAACGGGTTTGTGGAATGATTGATGTGTGAGAGTTGATAATGAAAATGAAATTGATTTTTGAGTTACCTTTGGGCTTGGGTGATGTTTTACTATCTATTATGTTGTGTGTTGTATGCAATTTTTGAGACAAATGTATATCCGGAGACTAATGTTTTGTTGGTTTGTTTTTAATTTTCGAGTCTAGTTTAGGTCTAGTATGGATGTTTGTGGGTATCATCGCTGGAATCCCTCACGAGAATGCAACTCGTCCAACTAGGGCCACCTAGGGGTTTAAAGGCTTGTTGCATACGCTAATTGCAACCGTGACAATCTACGCTAGTGATTTGGGGTAGATTAGATTTAGGTTTATTTTATTTTAATTTTCAAGCTAGAAGACATCTTTAGATCGCTTACCTTGCTAGGGACTAGCAAGAAGCTGGTTGGGGGTTGTGATAAGTGCTTGAAAATACACTTATACTTAGTGGTATATAGGTATCATTTGTGGGAAATTAGGATTAATTCGCATGAATTGACTTAACTATTTCATAAATGCACTTTTCGGGACCACGGGTATTTTTGTTGGGTTTTAAGGGAATAAAGCTTAAAAATAATATTCGAATGAGAGATGATGTTGGCAAGAGAATTTGCGACGACTAGAAATAAACGGATCGAGAATCGAAGTTAAATTGAAGAAATTATGGAGCTTTGAACTAAAGAGGAGATTCTAGATTACGATGCAATTTGAGCACACCTCGGTGTTTCAACTATAACTGGAGCTATTGATACTGTATCGAGATGATTTTTCAACCGTTGAAAAGATGATTTAAAGGGATAAATTTCATATGTTTACCACGTTTCCAAATTCCATCGTTATCATGCTAAAACAACAGCATTTCTGGAGTGCTAAAGAATGATGCAAGGTTAAAAGAGGAATTGGACCATGCCGAAGCATTGTGCTGCAGCACACTTAGACGAGAACCAACCATGCCGCCGCACTTAGTTCAGAACCAACCATGTCGTAGCACAGTGTCGGGGTATAGTCACGACAGCTGGAAATCTTTCTTCCATTTTTTACTAGGAAAATAAGGTTTAAGAGTCCGAAACTAAATAGAATTAAGGAAAACAAAACCCTAACCCTTGTGGGATATAAATAAGAAGTCATTTAACATTATTTTCAGAGATTCTTTAGAGATCTTTGCAGAGAACAAAAGTACTCAATAATGTAGAGATTAAGAGAGATTGAAAGAGGCTTGGACAGAAGAATTGGGGAAGATAATCATCAACTCCATTTTTCTACCCAAGATTTCCTAAGCTTTTCTTATCTCTTGTTACTATTTTTTTATTCTTCAATATGATTATGTTTTTATTCTTCTCCATAAAGAACTAATTCTTTTGTGATTGAAGACACCCTAGAC